ACCCTCAGTCACCTCATAAGGTTGTACCGGCCATTACGTTACCGGGGCCTAGTTGCTCTCTAGCGTAGGTCCACTCGAGCTTCTACGATCGACAATGAGGAGAATGAGGACCGTGGATGGATGAGTCAGTTCGTTCGAGTCCGGACGACCGACATTATCTTTAGAGAATTTTTACCGTTTCCTGAGAAATGGAACTCCGTACGTAAGCACTCTGTTCGAACTGTCTTTCTCTTCATATGAGGTTGGCCCCATAATGATGTCTTCCTATCCTTTGTTTACAACAACTCATTGGTTGCCCGGTGAGGTCCCTAATTTAGCCGAATGGTCTCGTAGGCTGGCAGTTTGATGGGCTCATGATAGGCGCCGGTGGCGAGATCTTTCAAAAGGGAGATGGGAGAAGAAACATTATGGTAGGCACCTAGCGTTCCCTCTTTTTAAGGATGGATTCCCTTTTGCTGATTCTCCTGATTCCTCTATCTCAGCTGTCAGGAGTTCATTCGAGGCGAGACTGGGTTCCCCGAGGGAGAAGGAGAGATTGTTGGCCCGGAATCAAGGAGCATTGGCAAAAGGAAAGGTGCTCCGTGGTGTGAGAAGGCTTGTGGTGAGGCGGCTTAGCTGCAGCGGTTGAAGGGAAGCGATTTGGTCGGCCAACAAGCTTTTGTGATTGATGCACCATCGGATGTTGCTTCGGCCCTCGACGAGGCTCATCGTCTTGGCCTTGTGGTGAGTTTTCGGCTGCGGTAGGGATGTTCTGCCCCGTGCTCCTTTTTCTTCCCTTTACTCGCCTGGCTTTTCTTCTTCAGGCTTTTGATAGGCTCAAAGCCAAACTGCTTCGTTGCGAGGCCCCGTTGCGGGAGGCTCGAGAAAGGGAAAAATCCCTCAAACTTCTCTATGCGGCAAAGGAAAGTGAGCACGTTTCTTTACAGCGTGGGGTAGACCGAAGCCATGCCCGGGAGGCCCTCTTGGAGAAATAGGTATTCTACATTTTGCGCTGGCCCGTATTCCCTTTTTTGTCTTGCCGTTTTTGACTTGTTGCTGTTTCAATTAAAGGGCAAGGCGAATGAGCTAGAACAACTCTGGGGCGAGGTCGACAAAGCCAAATGTGAATTCACTGAGTTGCAAGCGCGTGTTAGTGCCCATTATGAGGCCAAAGAGAGGGCTCAGGCCGTGACATCCGTTCTTGAGGCGCAAATTCAGGTTGCCCGTGCGAATGATTCCGCTCGGGTGAAGATGATTGCGAGACTCTCATCCGAGCTATCAAGGGCAAAAATCGAGGTGGTGAATGTCCGGGCCGAGGTTGTAATGAATAATACCAAGGGGAAAAAATGGCGGCTCATTCAAAGAGTGCCGCTAAGGCTGAGCTGAAGAAGACCCTCGATCGTGCAAACAATTACGAGAGGCGCAGATCCCGGAGGGAGACCCTAGAGGAGATTCATGGTAGAGGCTTTGATCTTTTGGAGGAGATAGAAAAAGCCAAAGGAGAGGAGTTCGATGCCAAGTACCTGATGTCCGATGATGAGAATGATGAGGAGGAGACCGCCGGACCATAGCTGCTGGAAAAAAGGGGGAACGAATATTCCCTGCCTTCTTTGTTGTGTATATATAGCTTTCATTATACGGCGCATGCCGAGATTGTGCTTTGTCATCAATATGTAGTAATATAGATATCAGGGTCGGATTCTGATTACGGAAAATGGAATAGGCCATAATGGTAAATGTGACTTGTGTGCAAAATTTGAGGTTAATCGGAGGTGATTTGATAGGTTTCGGCATCAGTTGTAGAAGTTAAAGTTTTAAAGTTCATTGATTTTGACATGAGGTGTGATTCCTCATTTCGAGGTTGTTATGCGTTATTTGAAGCTTTGAGTAGGTTCGCTTCGTCATATGGAACTTGTGTGCAAAATTTAGTACCATTCAGAGTCGATTTGGTATGGTTCGGACGCTTGGTTGCAATTCTAGAAGTTCTTGAAGTTCATGATGATTTTCATGTGTTTTGGCATCCGATTCGTGGTTTTATTTGTTATTTTTGTATTCCGATCGCGTGAGCGAGTTCGTGTTATATTTTCAGACTTGCGTAGATATTTGGTTTGGAGCCCCAAAGGCTCGGATGAGTTTCGTACGCGTTTCAGAGTGTTGGAAGAAGGTTCAGCTGTGCTGTGTCTCTGTTCTCGCATTTATGAGATTTCCATCACATTTGCGAGATATTTATCGCTTTTGCGAAGATGGGCTGGGGCTACGGAGTTCGCAATTGCGAAAAGCATCATTGTATTTCCGATAGCAGTTCCGCATTTGCGACGCCAACTTTTGCTTTTGCGAAAGATGCAGAGCTCGCATTTGCGAGTCTTCTGTCGCATTTGCAACCTGAGTAGGGCTGGTCAGCCTTTGCTTTTGCGATACTTTTGTCACATTTGCAAGGATCGCATTTGCAATCCTGATGTTGCAAATGCGACGTCTGAGATTGGTATTAAGACTCACATTTAGGGACTTAGCTTCATTTTCTCATATTTTGAACCCTAGGTCCGAGAAGAGGCGATTTTGTGAAGGAATTTTCATACCAAATCATTGGGTATGTACCTTTAATCATTTCCCAACTACATTTCATGACTATATATAAGATTTAACATCTGATTCATGAGAATCTAAAGGAAAATTTGGGGAAAAGCTGTAAAATCTTTCAAAATTTAAATTGATGATTTGAAGGACGAATTGGTATCAGAACTTGATAAATTTTGTATGGTTGAACTTGTATTGGAATTAGTGTTCGGATTTTGTAAATTTTATATGGTTTAGAGGTGCGGGCCCGGGGAGTTGACTTTCATTGACTTTTTGCAAATTGAATATGGGTCATAGCTTTGTAAATTGAAATTATTTTCTCTTGCATTGTTTGATGTATTTAAGTCGTCTTTGGCTAGATTGAGCCGAGCAGAGGTGAATTTGTAAAGGGAAAGCTAATTTGAGTATTGAGTTAGCTGAATCGAGGTAAGTGTTTTGCCTAGCATTCTTGAGGGAATTTTTCCTCCTATTTTGTTTGCCACATGTGGGGGTGATACATATATGAGGTGACGGGCGTATATGTATGTGCCAGGGTTAATCATGCTTGGGGGTGGATTATGTTACATTTATGTTTTGTAGAATTTCGTGACCTCCTGCTTCATGCATTACTTGACTCTTAGATACTAAGAACATATTATTAAATGATAGAAATCAAGACCAAGCTTATTATAACTTAATCAAACTTGACAGAAATTCTGAGAATACATTAACGTGTCTAATTCGGTCATCTCTATGCGAAATCATTACTGCATTACTACAACTGATATTCTTGAGATACTAGACTCTATAATTGTGTTGTGGATCATTTGTGAGATTTGTGGAAGTATTTGAATAATACGGTTCTTCAGGGTTGTTGAATCATTGTTGACTTGGAAGGTTGTGATTGGGAATTGTTTGGAATATCCGTTAAAACACTCTCCTTGATATCATTTATGCTTCCTGCCTTGTTTGTCATTGATATACATATGCTTGGTAAGGAAGAGTGTAAAACACGAAAGGTGATGTCGTGCCATTATTTATACATTATCATGTGAGGGAGAGTGTAAAACACGAAGAGTGATGCCGTACCATATCATTTGAGAGTAAAAGCACGAAGGGTGATGCCGTGCCATTTCATTTATATTGTTATGCTTGTATATTATCGTGAGGTCATGGCACGATGGGTGTTTCCGTGCAGGCGAGGATGAGGGACATGCATTATGTTTGATATCAGTTTTCCGTTATATACATTCATGTCTTTACCTTGAACTGTTATTATTATAATTATAGATCTGATGTGATCTATTGCTATTGTCCTGTCATTGATCTCTATCTCAATTGTTGTTGTGTTGCTCATACATTCTACTTGCTTAACTTGCAAATACCATGCCTATTTCCTGCTTTTATAAATATTATACTCATGTTGTATCTATTCTGTTGCACTTTAGTATAAGCCTTCCACCATGCTAGTCATTCGTGTCCTTACTTGTTAACTTGTAAAGATCATGTATTTCCTTCCTTCTTATTTGTTATATTTGTACTTTAGTTGCTTTACTTTTTTTTTTGTAGTAGTTATAGTTAATTAAAATCACAATCACTTCTCGAAAAATTATTTGAACGAATAATTCCTAAATAGTTTAATTTAATTAATAGTTAATCATTAGTCTATGTGAGAACACTACTCTATTTACCACGTATAAGATGCTTGTACGTTTGGCCCTAACAGCAGCACCCCCTTTTAGGTGTGACAAACCTCACTAAGGTCAATGTCGACTAGAGACTAGAGTATGTTTCATTGTAGAATATTAGGGCACATTAAGCGGGGCAGTCCTACACTCCAAAAAATTTTAGCCATAAATAGGTTAGCAGACTAGATAGTCAGCTTCTACTACAAATCACCTTGCGAGGGATGTTTCTATTCTCAAGATAGAGATTCGGCAGAACAGGGCACAAGCAGGGGCTGATCAACAAAAGTTGTAGCCAAAAGCTAAAAGCCAAGATAAAGAGGCCTAAAATATGTTAAATAAAATTTTATTTATCTAGGTTTTTGAAATAATTAATAATTTTTTCTTTTTACTTTTTCTTGCGTATATTTTAATATTTTATAAATATTTTTAAACCATCAAGTTAGCTACTAGAAAATGCTTTATTTGCTTTGGCCTTAAGCCGACCCTTGGCGCAGGAGGTCGAGGTTTTGGTCAGGTTGAACCCTATTTAGGTTGTGACTATCAAAGGATAAGATTTTCGATAGCCCTAAGTCAAACCTATATCTAGAATTCTTTTAAATTATGTCCAGTGTCAAGAATAATACGTATGACATGGAGCGGAAGAAATAAGACTTTCACAAAACCAACATAGAGTGCATCGAGAACTTTAAAGCCATGACGGTATAACTTTGAGATTATTTTAAGTTATAATATCTCAAAGATCAATAGGATCTATTTTAATTTAAGTTTGTTGAACAGAATTATAAAATTATATCATACCTTTGAGTAAACAAAATGAGTTGCAAGGCCACAGGCAATCATTTCTGACCCATTTATTTTTGCCCCTGTTAGTCCCAAGTATTCTCCTGTTAACAATGAATCAAAAGTAAAAATAAGACATCAATCATATACATAAACATAAACCATTCAAGTGTTAGCTACTATTTTCTTATTAATGTGTAGAATTCCATAATTTATGACAATTTCCAAAACAAAGAATGTAAAACTAATAGCACCCGTATTACAAAAATAAATAAATGATAATATTCCTAAAAGCAATATATTTTAAATGATGAGTCCATGGGTTTCTTGTTGATTTTGAGATTCATGTTGGGACATATGGTAGTATGTGATGTTACATTCAGTACAAATTTGATGATGGTCTAGCCATTGGCCTATGTGCGAGGCAATCAACATACAAGACAATGTGGGCATTGTCAATGACAACAAACTATTGCAAGAATAAGGTGTGACGGACTACACTACTGTTGCAAGGCAAAAGTGTGACGGACTAGACTAAAGCACAAGTGGGCTGTGTGCACGCAAAGGCCAAGATCTTGAAGGAATAAGGTGAGCTGGACGAAAGCTTGACACAACAATGCGGGGAAGATCTAGGCTCTAAGACAAGGCGGCTTAGTGCCAAGGCAGTGGCATTGGCAACACGGTGTTGCCTTGGCTTAGGTGAGCGGGTTGACAGCTAAGGAATTTGCTACATGATAATTTAACGTGGCAATTTATGAAACTTACTCAAGTGACGTCGAAGACATGGTCATGCATGCATACATGTTATGTGATTGTACAAATTTGTTATTATATAACCTAAAGCTATTTAGAGATCTTAATGGAGGATATTTTAAATTTAAGCTGACAAGATATAACCGTAAACAACGAAGTCTTGTTTACTTTACCAAAATGGCCAGGTAATCTTGAAAGAAAATAAGATGCTCCGACATCCGGATGATGTCCAAATGATGCTTCTGGCATGGCAAACACCTAATTATCCATAAATAAATGAAACGATTATGATATACTGTCCAAAATCTACTAAAAGTAAACATATCAAACATTTCTTATTATTTTTTTTTTGTAAACATATCAAACATGGGAATTAATAAGCTCCAAATCGTTAAAAAACGAACAAACATTAGATTAGAAACCATCCAAGAAAACAATAAAGGAAAATGCTCACGCATACTATTATGATGACTAGTTTGAAAGAGCCTTCTATAAGGCACTTAAAAGGCTACTTATTTAATACTAAAATATATAAAAATGGTTAATTATAAATTAAGTTAATATTCCAATAATGAGAATAAATAAGTTTCAAAAGTAGTATAGCTAAGTAAAAATTTAAGAAGGCCATTCTAATACCTCAATAGTCATCTTTCTAACAAACTTTGAATGTATCCTTTTATACTTGATACTTGATAGTGACGGCATTTGGCTAAAAACATATAACCAAGTAATTTTAAGGCTATAAAGAAAATTAGTTGTACGTCTTCGAAACGCACCGTATTTTCGGTGACGATTCGGAATTTTGCGTTCATGGATAGTCCAGCACCTCCTCCCATAACTGCTCCATTGATGAGGATAACCTTCATATTTAACATGGATTATGATTTAAATAATTAGCGCAAAATAAAATCATAAGTGACACCTTTATTAATTTTTCTATGATATTAACAAAGCTTACCACTGGTTTTTTGTATGTTGCCACCAAATAATCCAATGTTAGCTGCATTCTGTAAAAGTCCAGAACAGAACGGTAGTCACCTGACAAATGAGGAAAGAGATGAAACACAGAATTTTAGTACGAAATTAATTCTTTATACTTGAAAAATAAAGTTACATGTACGTTTAATGTTAAAAATGGGAATTTCTTGTACATCTATAGCAATTTAATAAAACTAAATGAACTTTCACTAGATAAATATATTAACAGCATGTTTCATAGACCTCCCTCTAAATTTGTTGTGTACACCAACTTGCTTTTGGTTTGGAGTCGTGCACTCACCTCCCTAATTATTATCATAATTAATGTCCATATTTCTATAAAAATCTTCATGCTACTGATAATAGAAATCAGGAGGGTATTTGTAGATTAAAAAAAATCAAATATGGAATTCAAGATATTTAAAACATAAAAATGGACGTATTAGCTATAATTTAATAACACATATTTTTTATGAGATGCTTATTATATAAAAAAAAAGTATTTTTCTAAGGTTCAAGAAACTAAAATGTAAAAATGAAAACATATTTTTTCACAGAATTAGGGAGGAGGATACATACTAAATTAGATTAGAGTAAATATCTCTGGCATTTATCAAACCAGAGTGAAGGTTAAAAGAATTAAAAAAGAGCTTTATGTTATTACCTCGTAGCATGGATTGTATCACTCGAACAACGTCTCCTCCCGCACAAAATGCTTTTCCTTTTCCCTACATTGAAATGAAAAATCGCATTGGTTGTTGGAGTTGTAAGAAAAAGAGTGAATAGTAAATAGAAATCACCATGTTTAATTAATGTTATTTACCTTTACTATTACAAGTCTAACTTGTGGATCTTGTTCATACTCTTTGAAAGTTCGTAACAAATGAGAAATCTGCAGAATTCAAAAGAAGAAAACAGAATTTGTAGTACTTATTTGTAGTACTATGTTGTATCATTCAACTGCATTCACTTTCTTCTTTAACAACTATTATCACTACTAATGAAAAATGCCGCGAAAACAAACTTACAGAGTAATTAAATTCAATTACCAATGTGATTTTCCCACTAAATAAATATAAATAGTTTTTAATCAAAAAAGGTGTCTAGTCCATTCAAAAAATTCTATATATTGCAAGAAGAGCATATAGATTAATCTGATCAAAAAAGTTATGTATAAAATAAAAAGAACTTGGGTTTAAATTTTTTTGCAAAGGTAGAGGTACCAAGGGGTTGGCCGATAGTAAAATATGATTAATGTATTATATAGGAGAGTAATTAAGGACGGTAAATTGCAATAACTTTACGTAAACCATTTTCTATTTTGAGTTGGAGAAGTACGTAAAAAGTAGTACAATAACGTAAACCAAAAAGGCTATAATATTCTTTTCCTTATCTCCTTTTTCTCGTATAATAATTTCTTCTTGTTCTCTCAAATAAAATATAATAAAGCAGAATAATGATCAGTAGACGCTCAAACATACCATCTCGAAAGTCAAACAATTCAATTGTCTTGGTCTATTTAGAGTGACTTTGCGCACGCAAGACGTAGCTTCAAACACCACCTGGCAAATTAATGAAAATTAATAAAAGGAATTGAATGAATTATGGGCAAATGTAATGTTATAATGCCAGATTAATCATGTGACTGCCTTAACGTCGTACTATGCTTTATTAAGCTTTCTTTTATTTGTTTGAAAAGAAGAAAACCGTACTAATAAATAAAATGACTAAACGCTACTTTCTTAATTTTAATAAATAATAGTTCTGAATCAATTTAACAAATTCAAACCATCAACCTATACGTATAATCGGGGGTGAATCTGCATTGGATCAAGGGGGTTCAACTGAACCCATTTCGTCAAAATTATTTTTTATTTATAATTTTATATAGATGTTGTTATAAAGAGGCCTGCAGAATGTACAAGGCAGAACTACAATGTTACATACGGGTGGGAATGAACCTACTAGCTTTTATTTAGATTCTATATTTGTAGTAGGATATTTATTGAATATGTATAGATATTTAATTAAAAACCCAAAAATTAAAACGAAATATATATTCGGTATCAAGTTTGAAACTCACAAACTTCAAATACTGAACTCGTATATTGTAATGATCTTTTGTCTTTCTGGGTTGTAGGTCCGAATAGGGAAAAGGTGAAGGGAAGGAAAGGTTTTGATAAGAAGTCATGAATTTTACAAGTATCTTTGTAGTTTTAAATCCTTTTATATTCTCTATCTACGTATCATTTCTTAAGAAAAGAATTATAGCTAATAACAAGCTGTAGCATAATGTCCATATACACCAGGAAATCGCTGGGCAATAGTGCCACAATTTTGTTGGGAGTACTTTTGATCATTAAGATCTTTCAGTAATACCTTTAGGGTCGTTTGGTTCGAAACAAATTATCCCAAGATTAATTATTTCAGAATTAATTATTCATAGTTATTTTACTTTTTCACAGGGATAAAAAAAATATTATAATTCCCGGATAACTAATCCCGAGATTATACTACAGTTTTATTTCAATCAAATATGGGATAAACTCATATAAAATTTAATCCCGATATTAATTATCTCTTATCTCTCGTACCAAACGAGCCCTTAGTGGATAGTTAAACTTAATTAAGGATTTAAAATAGAGAGTTGCTGCAATAAATTTATAACGAAAACAATCCATAAACACTAAGGAGTCGTTTGGTTTGAATACGGCTTATGCCGGGATAAGTTATACTAGTATAAGTTATGCTGGGATTGTTTTTTATCCATTGTTTGGTATGTTGTATTAAATAGGACAATTGCATAATTTGTAAGAACAATGTATAAGTTATACCAGGGTTAATTACCTCACCCTCTATAAGGTATAAGTTATTCCGGTGTTAGTTTTTAATCATGTGATAACTTATACATGCTAACCAAACGAAGCATTAAGGTAGTATTAAATTTTTATACCAGCACTATATCTTCTTATACCTCATACCAAACGACCCCTAAGTGTGTTAAGAGATCACCCATTCTTGAATTAATAAGGATTAACTTTAATTGATTAGTATGAATTTTAACCAATTCATACTTATGCGAGGCTCTTTATTAACTGACAAGTTAACTTATAGATCCCATTTGCTTACTTTAAGAGATTAAATTAAAAAGCCAACTTAAAGGACCATAATAATAATAATAATAATAATAATAATAATAATAATAATAATAATAATAATAATAATAATAATAATAAACATGGTAATAGAATATCTTCAATGAAGAAGCTAACCATTTATGGCAGGTCGTTTTTGTTCCGTTTCGGAAAATGAATTCAGTTCATTTATGTTGAAGAAAAAGCGAGGAACTAATATGGAGGATTTACATGTTGACGCTGTGAACTTTGAAAAAACATGTATGACGTCAATATCTTGAATTTGTATTCAACTGTATTCAGCAACAATTTTTCATATTCTTTGGCATATTTAATTATCATTTAGCATACTTTTCCAATTCGAATAAATATTTTAGCTTCTCAAATATAACTGCCAATTATCATTTAGCTACCATACTTATTCAATTTGAATATATATATATATACATTTAACTTCTAAAATTTCTCGCGCCGGTCGAAAAAACCATGTTTGCAAATATTTATTTAGCTTCTCTATTGCAGATATTCCATTACCATGTTCCCTATTATTTTATTTCTCTAATGGTTCTTAGTTTAAGCATCTTAAATAGGAAAAATATAAAATTTTATGTTGTTTTTATAATTTTATCTTCTCAAAATAAGCAAATGAGACCCGTAAATCTACTTGTCAATTACGTAATAAATAGCCTCGCATAAGTTAAATTTGGCATGTGAATAAAATTTCACGAGAGAGTAAAAATCTGTTTGGACATAGATTCCCAAATATTTTTTGAAAATGTTGATTTTGGGGAAGTTTGATGTGAAATTAAAAAAATATTTGGACATGAATTTTGGGGCAAGTTTTAACATGTCAAAGAGTCTTTTTTTTACTTAATTTTTTCAGCTAAAAAGTCCGAAATGATTGTGATTTGACCCAAAAAAAAGTCTTAAGCTGTATTTGAGATTTGAAGTTTTAGTTTTCAAAAATTTCCAAAAACTAGATTAATTCTTTAAATAAATACATATTTGAATATTTTTTTTAAAAAATAATAACTTTCAAAACTTATGGCCTACTAAGACAAAGTAAAGCATCATATGTTTGATCTAAAGTACAGTTGGCAATAAATTTGCACCCTTTTTGTCTGCAATTAATGAGATTGTACTTAAAGGAGGAAATTCTTTGTTTTTCCTTTAGGCCAAATAAAAGTTGTTTGATGCTTTCACTTTGACATTTGAGCTACCTAGTATTTGTGCATTACTCGAGATCTATTTCAATCAAATACTTCATCCGGTCCAAAATAAGTGATTTTTTGGCCCTTTTTTGTGGTCCGAAATAAGTAATTTTTCCAGATTTCAAGAATGAATTAATTATTTTTTTCCTACATTATCTTTGGAGTAGCTAGTGTTGGAATATGTGTTAGGAGTGTTTATGTGAGATAGTAAAGGTTAATATGGTCAATTCCATTGCTAATTAATGCAAAAAGATAAATTTCTTAATCTATGTAAAAACATCCAAAAAATCATTTATTTTGGACCGAAGGGAGTAATTTTTTCTCAATCTTGATGCAAAGGGTGAGAGTGTATAACACGTGTATTTACCCAATAAATATTTTAGGCGGTCTAAGTAATCATTAAAATCCCTCTTTAAACATAAACATTGAAATTTAAATATACACTATCGATGTAATCTTACTAGTCGTAATAAGTCACTTGTCACAATTTGCTGGTTACTACACTATACTTCAAATAAAAAATTACTTTCTCTATTTCAATTTATGTGACACACTTTCTTATTAGTCCGTTCTAACAAGAATAATATATTTTTATATTTAAAAATAATTTAATTTTAAATTTTTTTGTTTTCCCATTTTACTCTGAATAAAAAGCTTTTATAACCACATAAACTGAAAGTCCCACAAAAACTTTTTTATTTTAAGTTCTTAGACCACAAATTTAAAATTCTTTCTTTTTTAATATTTATATTAAATCAAACTACATCACATAATTGAAACAGATGAGTTCATGCTTGTGTTAAATGAAAAATCTTTATAGTTTAATCGTATAAAAGTTATACTCTTGTACTGCTAGCACACCTACTACTTGTAATGAGATACAATATCTAATATAATTCCGCACTTTACCACCACAAGAAACTATAATTATTTTGTAAATTTCAGTGTAAAAGTTAAAGAATATTCTCAATGTAGAAAGTGTTAGTACTATTTTTTGTGGACCAGATGTCCTATAAAATGACTGTGATCGAATAGTATATTTCGAAACAAAGTGGAAATCAAGAAACAGTAAAACCAAAAATGTATACTCTAACGAATGAACCTACTTTTTTTTTTTTTTTGGTTGATCAGGTACTAAGGAGATAGGAAAAAGGAGTTCATACCTGATTAACGTCACGATCGGACGAAACATTAGAGGCCATGTCTTAGTTAACTTGTTCTCTGAAAGCAGCTCAAAGGAAAGAAACAAAAGATCAAAATTCAAATCAAAGAAGAAAATAGCCATCACTTACATACATTCGAAAAAAAAAAAACACAACTAAAAGAACCATTTGAGAAAAGAGAAGCAAGGTGAGGGTTTTTATTTTTATTTTTATGGGATGGAGGGATAAGTAGCTAGAAAGAGAGAAAATTGAGTAGTCTAAGAACCTGAAATGGCAGAGCTGAGGAGCAGAGAAAGATTGGCAGATGTATGTAGTGCATGGGATATGTTGATATTTATTGGAGAAGCCAGCCACTCACTTATAATGCATTTATTGTGATTTGGAAAGTAGGTCTGGAGACAACAAATGTGTAGATTTATGGCGTTTCGATTTGGTTCCACGAAAGTCGGTGAGAAATAAATTTTGATGGAGTTTAACTGCGTTGCGTATTGAAATTTTGATGATTAACAAAGTTTGTTTAGATGCAATGTTCGAAGAATCAGATTCTTAACATAGCTGCTTAACTGTTCTAATAAGCAGCTCCTCAAGGTAAAGGACAAGCTCCTCAGGTTGATGATTGAACATCTGTGCAAGACAGTAACTTTATCTCAAAGCTATCCAAGTCCGAGTTCGGTGGAAGAAGACTGCTACATGTGATAAGGGTTCTTGCCCAAGAAGATACGAATAAATCAGTAAGAGACAAAGTCCCAAAACTTGTGGAGTCCTTGAATCAAACAAGAAGCTTACTATGCACAGGACTCCTAGAAGATCTTGAAGTCCACGCGTTTAAATACTGTCTATTTTGGACTTCTGAGATTATCCTTTCACACATCAACTGAAGAACTACATTTTGTACGCTGTAGTCGAGTATCAGTGTTCTACTCTTCTTGAGTCAGTCTAGTGAATGTGTTTTAGGAAATTGAGTTGTAATCAAAGTGTCACAAACAATTAGTGAGTTGGAGTGAGTATTTGCTTTACACGTTAGAGTAACTTGTAAATCAAATAGTCGTAGTAGGAGTACTGGAGAATATTAAATTATAGTCTTGTAATTAGTACATTTTGGCTCATTGTTCTAGTGGAGTTGCAGTTGAAAATCTTACACAGTAGGTCGTGGTTTTTGCTCTTTTTGTTCCGGGAGATTTTTCACGTAAAAAATCGTTGTGTTTACTTTACTGCTTATTTTACTTCACGTTTACAGAACACGGTAAAGAACCAAGTTCTTTAGTAATCCATACAGGGACTCAAACCAACAATTGGTATTAGAGCAAGTTCTCTCTTACACACAACTGATACCTAGAGAGATCTTGGAAGCAAGATAAGTGCTCCACCCTGAATTAATAAAGGACAATCAACTACCAGACCACCCCTGTTTAATGAAAAATATTACAGTTGGTGAAAAGTAAGAATGGAAGACTTCCTGACAGCTGAAGACTATGAACTATGGACCATAGTCAACCAAGGTCCATTTACTCCTATTAAACAAAATGCACAAAATGAAACAATTCCTAAGGACCCTTTTGAATTTGTGGAAGCAGATTTCAGAATGATGGAGAAGAATGCAAAGGCTAAGAAAATCTTTATTTGTGGACTTGGTCCTGATGAGCGCAACAGAATATATGTGTGGTCTAATGCAAAGGAGATATGAGATGCACTCCAAACTGCTCATGAAAGAACAAACCAAGTGAAGAGATCAAGGATAGAACTACTTATGAGAAACTATGAGCTCTTCTTAATGAAGGAGTCTAAGCCAATCCAAGAGATGATCACTAGGTTTACAGTAATAATTAATGAGCTGAAATCACTTGGAAAGATGTTTACTCCAGAAGAGTTGGTCATCAAAGTTCTAAGGATCCTTCTAGCTTTATGGGAATAAAAAGTCACAGCAATCCAGGAAGCTAAGGAGCTGGACACAATCTCACTTGATGAGTTGGTTGGAAACTTATAGACTCATGAAATAAGAAAGATAGAACTGTGCAAAGAAGAATCAAAGAGAGATAAGGCCTTGGTGCTTAAACTGTCTAAGGAAGATAAATCTGACAGTGATGATCCTAACCTAGCAATGTTTGCCAAGTTCAAGAGGTTCATGAAGAACTCCAAAAATGCGTCTAAGAGAGAGACCAACAGTAAGCCTAAGAAGATTGACAAAGCTAATTATGATGAGTGCTACAAGTGTAGCAAGCTAGATCACATGGTTAAGGACTGCCCAATATGGGAAAATGAGTGGAGGAAAGAACGAGCTAAAAAGGAGAAACGGGAGAAGATGAGAGAAAAACGTTCCAACAAAGGAAAAATCCTAAGTAACGGATTCACTAAAGCAATGAAGTAGGTCTTCTTCACAGCATATGAGGACAGTGGAAGTGATAAAGAGGAAGGAAATGAGGATGAGGCTATAAGTCTCTATACTGTAATTAATGAACATCAGGTAGTGGGGAAAGAGCCTCCAGTACATCATGGAATGCATATTGGAAGACCTCCTCTATTTGATGGACATCACTATGATGAGTGGAAGCTACGTATGAAAACATTCCTTCAAGCCACTGACTTTGACCTATGGATAATTGTCAGTCATGGACCAATTCTCCTGAACAAAATGGATGGCGAAGGTAACAAGTGCAACAATAGAGAAGAGGAATACGATGATGAAGATCATCAGCTGGTCAAGAAAAATGCTAAAGCAAAGGACCTACTTTACAGAAGCTTGCCCAAAAATATTATCTACAAAGTGTTCTCATGTATCTCTGCTAATGATATATGGAGGACCTTGGAAGCTGAATTTGGAGATGAAAATATCGAAGTGGCACGGATGGAGATTGAAGAAATCCAAATAGAAGAAGAAGTGATTAGAATGATGTCCATGAGTGATTCAGAAACTGAAGATAAAATATATCAGGTAAGTATCTCTAACTTAAAAGAAAACATTCATGCTATGTCTAAAAAACAATTGATGGCCATAATTGTGACCATGATGAGTGAATGGATAAAATGAGTGGTGGAAATAATCAGTTAATTAGGCAATCTTTCATGTGTCAAACTTGATCTCAAAGAGCTTGAATCTGACAAAGCTAATCTAGAAGGACATATCAAAGACCTTAAGAACCAGGTTCTTGAGACTATGACATTGGACTCACTGGTGATGGGCTCCTACGGAATCTGAACCTCAATTTGAAGATTGATCCGGAGACCACAAGGAAATTGACAATGATTATGAGGAACAAGAAGAAGAGAGAACTACTCTGACTACTAACCAGACTGATGAAGTTATACCTACTGAACCTGTTCCTTTGGGTCACTCCTTGGGTGAATCATCTCTGGGTATACAGATCAGGCAATGGAAACATTAAAGTTCACATCCTCTTGAGAACATCATCTCTGATCCAAATACAGGAGTGCAAACTAGGTCATCTATGAGAAATCTATGTGCACTCACAACATTTCTCTCACAGGTTGAACCTAGACCATCAAGGAAGCTCCAAAGGATTCATATTGGATTATAGCCATATAAGAGAAGCTAAATTAGTTTGAAAGAAGCAAGGTCTAGCACTTGGTTAAAAGGTACAAGAACAGAACTGTCATAGGTACCAGATGGGTATTCAGAAACAAGCTGGATTAACAATGAAATATCACAAGGAACAAGGTTAGACTGGTGGTTCAGAGATACAATCAAGAGGAGGGCATTGACTATGATGAGACAGTTGCACCTGTAGTTAGAATGAAAGCTTTAAGAATGCTAATAGCCTTTGATGCATACATGGAGTTTACCTTGTATCAGATGGATGTAAAGAGCGCATTCTTGAATAGTTATCCGAAAGAAGAAGTGTTTGTTAAATAACCTCTTGGTTTTGAAAGTGAAGAATTCTCTAACTATGTGTTTAAGTTAGAGAGAGCCATGTATGTACTGAAACAGGCTCCAAAAGCTTGATATGAAAGACTGTCAAAATTTCTCTTAACCAACAACTTGTAAGAGGAAAGGTAGGCAACACTCTATTTCTAAGGAACAAAAATTTTCTGATTGTGCAAGTATATGTGTATGGCAGTATCTTTGGGGCTACTAATTAAGCAATGTGTAAGGAATTTGCTGAGATGACGGGGAATGAGTTTGAAATGAGCATGATGGGTGAACTGAACTTCTTCCTGGTGTTGAAAATCAAGCAAATACCTATCAGAGCCATGATACATCAGCAAAAATACATCAAGGAACTGCTGAAGAAATTCAACTTGGGCTCCTCTAAGTCCATTGACACTCCCATTGCCATTGCAACAAAGCTGGTCCTTGATGAAGAAGGGAAAAGTGTTGAGCAAAAACTATATAGAGGAATGATTGGGTCACTATTGTATCACATAACAAGAATCCCTAATATTGTATTCAGTGTGGGACTATGTGCAAGATTTCAGGCAAATCCCAAGGAGTCTTGCCTGAAAGCTGTCAAGAGGATACTAAGATATCTCAAAGGGAATCCTGACATGTGCCTATGGTATCCCAAAGGGTATAGCTTTGATCTAGTTGGTTATGATGATGCTAGCTATGCAAGTTTTCATGTTGACAGGAAAAGCACTTTAGGAATAAAATATTTTCTAGGTTCTTGTCTGGTGTTCTTGAGGAACAAAGAAGTAGAACTCAGTGGCCTTATCCACAACTGAGGCTTAATATGTGGTATCAACATCTTGTTGTGCTCAGTTGCTGCGGATAAGACAACAACTAAGGGACTATGGTATTTTTGTTGATTGTGTTTTCATTTTCTTTGACAACACTAGTGCTATAAACATTGCTAAAAGTCTCTGTCAGCATAAGAGAAGCAAGCACATTGACATTAAACACCACTTTCTCAGAGACAATGTTGAAAAAGGAAATATCTCAATTAACTTCTATAAAACTGAAGACCAAATTGCAGATATTTTTACTAAAGCTCTAAGTAGGGATCACTTTGAAAGGAACAGGCTGGAACTAGGTCTAATTAATACTTCCAACTAGTTGAACCCCAATGATTGGCTAGAAAAGTATAATTAGATGTAAATAGTCAATTACAATGTGTTTGATTCAGTCTCGTGCTTGTATTAAGCACCCACACTTGCTTAGAAATATCTGGCAGATAACTATGTTGCATGATACTAATGTATAGTGCTGAAGCTTTATTGCAGAAACAAGTAAGGAGTTGCTATGGAGTTGGTTCTTCGACTCAGGTACATAACATCTTGTCTTAATTCACTGGGACTTAATATGCTAAATTATTGCTATGCTCAAACTTCTAATCCTATTAGCATCACTTCTACTTGTCTATCTAGTCAAAGAGT